CTGGGACCCAGCTGTAGCTTGTGGCCAAGCGCGCTCTCCTGTAGGATGGCAGCGTCCTGGTCCTGGTCCAGGCGGATGTCACCGTGACATGTGGTTGTGCCTCTAGCAAGTCAGGGAGTAGGTTCAGGCCGTCCTGAAGGGCAGGGTTTGGAGCTGCTGCGGGTACACCGAGCGCCGAGCACCGTCAGCCTCCAGACCAGGACAGCTGGACATCTGTTCCCTAGGGCTCAGCCTTTCAGGCCTACGTGTGCGGGAGAAGCGGGGTCGCCCATGAGAGCTGTTACCCATGTCGTCTCTAATTGCTTGTTCCGTCTCCTTATCTTCAAGGCAAGACTTCCACGTAATCGCTGTTAGAGTTCTCTGTGGGAAGCAGAGAGCAGCCATGAGCTCAGCACCAGGACTCACCGTGCCCACCGCTCAGGGAGAGGTGGTCCCCATGCCACAGCCAGGTGACGTCCGTCCTCAAGGGCTGGGGAACCACTCGGAGCCCTCCTGGCAAAACCGGGGTCTGCCCAGGGGGAGGACGACTTAAGTGTGTTCTGAGGAAGCCAAGGGCAGGGGACACGGCGGGGCCGGTGGGGGCTGCCCCCACCCATGGGGGGCCCGAGCAGGGACAGTGGAGTGGTGGCACTCCGCCCCGTTCTCGGATGGCCTCTAAGAGTCTTCCTCTGGGATCTGTGACTATTTCATCCACGTGAGGCCAGCGCTGCCGCCCCACCCTCAGCAGCCTGGCTGCCTTTAGGACGGCGGTGGCACGGGGTCTTCTGGGTCCCAGGCTCTGCCCCCTTTTATGCTTCCCGCCCCCCCGAGTCTTGGTGAAAGACGGCCAGGGGACCACACCTAGAGTTGAGCCCACAGGAGGGAACTCTGTGGGTGCACACGCCCCTGCGAGGGGGGAGGGCCTTGTGTGCGGCCTCAGGGCGACGTGGTGCAGACAGAGCGGAACGGCTGTCCTGTGCTCTTCTCCCTCGCGAGCACACCTGCTGGGCCGCCGCCGCCTACCCACTGATAACTGCGGTCTCTCATTGGGGTAAACCGTCCGTCCCACCAAGAGAGAGCAGGCTGACCCAGAAACGTCTCCAGAGTCCCAGTTCAGACTACACTGTGACTGGCACTCGTCACATGCTTTTCTGAGAGTGTCTGGGAGGCACCTGACCCCTCATCAGCTGGACACCTTTAGGGGTACACTAGACAGAGAGACATGTAGCAAATACTTAACAAAATGAGTGGGGGTGGGAGAGGGAGGCCCAGGGACAGCGTCACTTGAAAGCTCTGCCTCTTTGTCCATGTGTCCCCAGAGGCAGGATGACAAGGAGGTCAGCTGCCCAGAACCACCTTGCTGTCCGAGCACGGGGGCTCTGGGTGTTGGCCTCCTTGGGGACACCTCAGCAGGAAAGGACATTTGTCTGTGCTGACTGCAGTGAGCACTGGTGGTAGTGGGACTAAGGTTCCTTTGGACCCGCGTGAGTGACAGCTTTTACCGTAAATGCTGTCCCGCTCGACCTTCGACCTTCTCCACCTCAGGCAGGGCGTGCTTCTCTGAATTGGCTTCAAAAGGGGAACCACCAGCCCTTGGTTGGGCTTCTCGAATCTGGAGATTAGGTCCTTTAGGTTTAGAAACGTCAGCTTTTTAGTGCCTTCCGCAGTCTGCAAAACACCAGGAGGACACCGGCAGCTGTGAGTGAGATGGGACAGTCCTCAGAGCAGTGGTTTTTGGGCGGCCCCTGAGCACGAGGCAGCAGCTCAGGCCCCGGCTGGCACCGTGTGAGGCGCCCATGACCCAGCTCTGTGCTCAGAGCTGCAGTGAGAGCTGGTGTCACCCGTCCTCGCTGCCAGGCTTGGCTCTTGAGGACTAACAGAGCAGCCTGCAGATGGGAGATGCACATAAGCTCTGAACATACGTGGTGAGCTCAGAACCCCTGGGGACAGGCAGCAAGACAGGAAGGCCCAGTGTAAACTGAAATAAGCGTGTCGCCGTGGTAAACTGCAGATAGCTGCAAAACAAGGACAATCTCTGACAGAACCTTCTAGAAGTCACTCACACGAAAGGAGCTGGCTTCCTCTGCCCTTTCCTTGGTGTGGGTGTGTGTGTGGGGGGAGGGGATAAGAAGGTTGCTGACCTTCAGGGTGGGTCACCACCCCCCAGTGGAGGTCAGGGTGACAGTGAGGTGGTGCAGGGAGGCCCCACATGGGGGTCACGTCCCTGCAACCCTAACGCGTCCTCATGTCTGAACTCTCACTGATCCGCAAGCAGACAAGAGACAAACGGGGTGTGAGGAACGCCCAGAGTTTCCCAAAGTGTGCACAACAGAGAAATGAGTGTTTTCAAATGTGCTGCTCTCCAGACAACATTGCATTCTGAAAGAACTGCTAACTTGAAGAAAGTTGCAAAAATAGTTTTTAAATTTCCACCTTGTATGCAATGTTTCAGCAACATTGCTTCAAGGTTATTTCTGTTAGTAAGTAAAGATCCAGGTATCTTGATTATACTCTACTTCCTAGGCCAAAGAAGCAAGTTCAGGGACACAAAAGGTTCCTGTGCTCAGCTCTCAGTAAACCCGAGAAGTCAGAGGCGCCTTTGAGCCAGCCGGGGGACTGTGCTTCTCTTTTTCCTCACACAACTGTGGAGACCTCCCCACTTCCCCGTCCCCCCCATCCCGGGCATCGTTTAGTCTTCTCGTCGGCAGTGGTCGTGCTGGAGTCCAGCCTGGAGCAGCTGACCACTGGGGCCTCACGGCGTGCGTCCCTCTGCGCTTTGCGTGTCCCTCAGCCTGGGTGATTCAAAGATGGGACCAAATCTGGGGCCTCCACATTTCTCTCCGAGAAAGTCAAGGTTAGCTATTGACGTGATCCGCTCTGCATGGCGCCCCCCCTCTTTTAGAATGCCTCCACACGGCCACGCCTCAGGTCGCAAGATGACCCGGGATCCCCCTAACCTTTAGTTGTCTTGTTGCAGGAGCTCTCGTGTGTTCTTACCTGGATGGTGTAACACCCGTATTTCTCTTTGAAGATGCGGTAGGTGTAGACGAAGTTTTCAAACCTGTGGAAAGAGGACCGTGTGAGTCACGCTGTTCTTATACGTAAACCCAGGTAACATCTGCCGTGACCTTTTGTGTGTGAAGCCTTTGTCAGCCTTGGGTCCCAAAAAGAAACTGATCATTTTCAGACCTTCTCATCCGTAGGAATTTGAAAGGGACCAAGGTTTGGAAATAGGGACCCTTGTGTGATGGTGGGAGCCTGAGCTGCCGCAACCGTGAGGAGACAGAATTCACAGCGTCCACGGTGTTGGTCGGCCGCTCTGGTCTGCACTCAGCTCTAAGCAGGTACAGCACACAGGGCACCCGTGTCGTTTAGATAGTGACGGAGCATTGTCCTCACGACAGGTGCCAGGGTGACTAACAGAGAAGGCTGGAATTTTGTCCAAGGAAGTGATGGATTGTGCTTTTCCCCTCATTGGATCAGGAGCCACCGGCTAAGTAATTCAACCGGGAGTTAGATAACAGACCCAATCCAGCAACTTCCAAAGCAAGAAACGGCGTACATTACCCTATCGCGCTAGTGCCAAGGTGCCTTCAATCATAAGATACAGTATCAACTTAATAATAGCTTTCCCGGAGAAAAAGGCACATGTTAAATGTCTCTATTGGCTCTTAAATGGATTCATATCCCACAGAAATATGAAAATGTAAAAAACGACCATCAAAGACATTGACATGAGGTTTCAATGATCGGACTGACCCCCGTACATGTCCCTGTGCCAAAGAATCAACTGACCAGTGATCTGACAGGATGGGGACGTCAGACGTTAGTCACAGCCGTAAGGACAGGAGGCCTCGTCACTGACTGGAAGCTTTGCAATTGGCTTTAAGCCTCAGGCCTGTCTGTGGGGTCTCCTGAGGCCAGAACGAGCCAGTGGGTGTCCCCAAATCCAATAGCAAGTAACAAAAGGGTCACATGAGTCCTTGTCCTCATGTGGCAAATTTAGGTATCCCACGGTCTGCCTTTTCACAGAAGTAGTGTTCAAATCGGGCTCGAACAAGGTTCACACCTTGCATTTGATTGATTACACGGTGTTTTGAAACTCAACTACCATATCGCTTATACAAAAAGTAAGTCAAAAGGGGCTACATGAAATGAAATGTGAAAACTAAAACTATAAAATGCTAGAAAAAAAACAGGAGAAAATCTATGTGGGTTGAGTTAGGCAAGGACTTATTAGATACAACCCTAAAATCACGATCCATAAAAGAAAAAAATTGATGAATTGGGCTTCATTAAAATTGAAAACCTCTGTTCTTTGAAATATACTGTTAAGAGGATGAAAAGACAAGTCACAAAATAAGACACGATATTTGCGAACCATTGTCATAAAGAACTTGCATCCAAAATATGTAACGAATCATCCAGACTCAGTAAGAAAATAAATAAGAAAATAAAACATTTAAATGGGCACTTTGAATGGACACTTCATCAAAGAACATACATGGATGGGAAATTATCACATGAAAAAATACTCAGTATTGTTAGTCATTTGCGAAATGTGATGTAAAACCACAGCAAAATGCCATGTCGCACCTGTTAATGTGGCTACACTTAAAAAGACGGGCCGTGCAAAGCATCGGAACCCGTATTGTGCCGGTGAGAACGGCAGTCACTTTGGAAAACAGGTCGTTTCTTAAAAGTATCCGCCTGTACGGAACGCCTGACTGAGTCATGTACTCACGGGAATGAAACGTGCCCCCAAGACCTGTTCAGACGTGGGCAGCAGCTGCGGCTGTGATGGCCGTGGGTGAGGACAGGGACGGGGTATGTCTCTGGAGCGGGCCTCTGCTCAGCAGGATGTACTGGCTACGTGGTGGTACCAAGACAGTGACCCTGGGTGAAGAAGTCAGACGGAGAGGACTGTTCTTGGTGGTCTGAGTTGGGTGACATGCTGGGCTTACGTGACGCTGTGTCAGTGAGTGGTGCCAGGAGGCAGATGATGGCAGCTGGGGTGGGAAGGGGCCCAGAAGTCCTGGGGGCCAGGCACGTCTTCAGTGTCTCGGCCGTGGGGATGGCTTCACGGGTGCAGACAAATGTCAAACTCCACCTCACAGCACACTTTTATCTTACGTCAGTGATACATCCGCAAAACTGTAATCATCACTCATGACACAAAGCTGTGTGCGAATGAGCAGAGTTTTCCCTAATACACAAACCGAGTTTAAGTTCATTATGCATAGACGGCTCTTGTGGTTTCTGTGGTTGGTCTCTGGGCCTTAGAGGGAGAAAACGCCGCCTGTATCTGCTGTTCCGTCCAGCGTGACCCCCGGTGTGGGAGCAACAGCGGAGGACAGCTCTGGGTGTGGCACCAGCGAATGCGGTCCACTCGTCATTCAGTCATTTCTAAGGCTTCTGCTGCTTGCTGCACTGAAATGGCTCTGTTTTCGGTTGTCCTGTGGAAATCTCCTCCCATGTAAGTCGTGAGGCACACACGGGGCTGATAAGGACCATTTTTACATCTTTGGCATTAGTTTCAGTTAAGATTTGAAAAGGCCAGAGCACAGGTCTTCTGAGATTCTCTTTGCAACAGGCGTGTGGAGCCTGGTGAACGGTACGGACGGCGGGGGCGGTGGGGACGGCGACACTACGCCAGGGTTTCTGAGCTCAGGTCAGGGACGGCCCGCACATCAGCGTTGGTGACACGGTGACCAAGGTTGTGGGGAAACTCGTTCATGTTCCAGTTGTGATGTCATTTTAACCAAACTGCAAAGGTCAGTTGAAGGAAATGGAATTGAGTGACGTCAGCCCTCTGTCTGCCAGTTTCTGGGCCATGATCGTAGGGAACCAAGTCAGTCGAGAATGTTCCAAGGCCTCTGACGCTGCCCTTCTCACGGACCTTAACTGGCTTGTGCCTTGTACGGCCTTTTGTTGTGCTACTTGTCAACGTGGGCAAAGCATTAAAATATCCAGGATTTTATCCTAAGGAGAGAGCAGGGTAAACTTCCAGAGATGTGCATGTGCAAACGCGAGTAGCCTCAAGTTACCTTGGTTCCGTTGGAAATAGCCCAACTCAGTGATTATGTGTAAGTTACGGCCTCTCCGGTCAGCAAAACACTGAGCGTCAAGACAGGATGAAGTGTGGCTGTCTTTGATGTGGAAAGGTTCCTGTAACCCTGAAAATCGCGGGTTGCAAACGGCTGTGGAGAATGAACACTTATGTACACGTTTCCTCCTGTGAGCGCCCGTGTGGAGAGGGCCTGCAGATGTGTGTGTGCCCTGACCACACACACTCATTTCTCAGTGCTGAGACTCAGGTCATTTCTGCTTTCTTTTTTACACCTTTCTCTTTGTTGGAGTGTTCAAAACAACCGAAAAGTTTGAATTGTTCTTTCCTTTCTGAACTCGAGTCTTTCCAAAGATCTCAGAACCTGAGAGCTGGACGGGACTTCCGGGGTCTCTGCCTCTCATCCTTTTTATTGCCACTGTCCCCTCAGTGAGGCCACGTGCCAAGTCAGCTCAAGTGGGGTTCCCCTCACTGCAGCCTTCCCTTCACCCCGCACGTGGACTCCTTACAAGTCTGAATGTCCCCTCCGCTCTGACTTGACGATTGTGAAGGCAGAGCCAGCCCAGCGTCGGCCACGCATGAGTCCCACTCACGGTGCTTCGCCTGTTGGGGTTTTCCAGACGCTCTATCACAGCAGTTCTCAACCTTCCTAACGCCGCGACCCCTTAATACAGTTCCTCATGTTGTGGTGACCCCCAACCATAAAATTATTTTCGTTGCTACTCTATACCTGTAATTTTGCTACTGTTATGAATCGTAATGTAAATATCTTTTTGTTTTCCGATGGTCTTAGGCGACCCCTGTGAAAGGGCCGTTTGACCCCCAAAGGGGTTGCGACCCACAGGTTGAGAACCGCTGCTCTATCAGGCTGTGCGATCTGGCAACATTTCCTGTCCACGGCCACCACGCACCATTTGTCTCTGTGACTTCCTTTAGGTCTGACCTTGCCCACAGCAGTCTGATTTAGGTCTGTGAAAGCATGGAAGCTGCCTGTTGCTATTCTAACAGCAGAGGTAGGGGCTTCCGATGACAAGAGTCCCCAAATCAAGGGCCACTGCCACGCCCGCAGTCCCCTGCTTGGGCATGCTGTAACGCGGTCCCACGGTGACCACCTTGGAAGCACTTCAGTGGGACGAGGACATTGGTGAGAGAGGGAACATGACATGTTAACAATTTGGGCTCGGACAGGTTATTCAGTAAGAAGCTCCAGTTACTTCTCCCACAAAACAGGGACATGGCGCCTGCTGCAAATGGCTTTGCAAAGGGTCCATGGGATAATGGAAGTAACACATTTCACCCAACCTCTGGCTCCCAGAAAGCGCCCTCACGGCAGCTCCTGCTGCATAGATGAGAAAACTGGGCTGCCGCTTGTGTTGTGGGTGGTTGTGGCTCTGCTCACATCAGGATGCACATGAAGTGTGAGTTGCTATTTGTGACCTTCCCACAGGAACCTTTCCTGTGCCCAGGGTTGCTCCTTTGTCCCTCCCTGTGATACGACTCCTTAGATTTTCACCACATCTCTGCTCTCCCTGGAATGTGACGCGTGGAGTGCTCTGCCCACCACTATCTCACCAGCGCCCAGGACCACGCCTGAAACTGAACCACCCGCGGATATGCTTGTTGAGTGAATGAACGAAGGTTCTTGTCATCCTCTGAGTGCCTGCTCCCCTGTGGACTCCTTGCTCTCGGTTCCCGTCGTGCCCTGAAGGAGTCCAGCGAGCACAGTTTGCACACGCGTCACACTGTCCACTCGCTATGTTGTCCCCACTCGACTCTGAGCTGAGCTGAAGGCACCAGCCTTTTGCCCGATATATGGAGACAAATGATTGTCGAACAGCTAGAGTTGAGTGGTCGGAACTGGTCTGTGAGGTGATCAAACTTCACAAGGACTGCGACCAGGGCCATTTTCACGGGGCCATTTGACCGGAGCCTTAAGCCTGAGGGCGCCTGAAATTGTGTCTGCCTTTGTGTGACACAGCAGGGAGGAAGGTGAGGCTGACCAGGCAGGCGCCCAACAAACAGTTATTCTCGCCTCTCCGTTGGATTTATTATTATTTATACATTTCTTAGTGACTTCCACTTTAGGTGACTACACAGGCTTGGTTGGACAGCTGAGAACAAATGTCCATTTTTAAAGAGTCCTTGTCTAGACTACTTGCCCTGAGACCTGGGGCAAGCTCTGCCTTGTCTGCTCCCCTGCACCCCTGCACCGCTTCCTCTCCCCTCTGCTTGTCACCACAGCTGCAGCCATCACCTGCCTTCAGCACATTCTCCAAATCAGACTGGAGTTCCTAAAGCTCAGCACCAGCCGTGGCCCATCCCTGTCAGAAACCATCCGTGTTTCCCCATTGTCTAGGTCAGGGGTCGGCAAACCACGGCTCGCGAGCCACATGCAGCTCTTTGGGGACGTACATGTGGCTCTGAAATAAAATTGAAAATGAAAATAAAACTATCATAGTTTCATTTATAAAATTTTTAAAGGACAGTATTCACATTGTGGTGATTTCATCTGTTTTATGGCTCTCGAATAATTTTTAAATTGTTGTGAGGGACAGGATTGGCTCTTCCATCTCAAAAGTTTGCCGACCCCTGGTCTATAGAATTCTCTGTTAAGCCCCCATAGCAATATCCCAAATCTACTTTTCCAAAAGTTGGTTTCCAAGCTACGAGTCATCCGTGCCTTAAAGTGTCCACCTTCTAGACCCGTCCCTGTGTCCCCCTCCCTAGAGCCCCTCCACCCCATGTCCAGGTCACCGAGTCACCCAGCCTCAGCGCCTGCTCGGCACACCTCCTCTGCGGGCTTCCCTGCTCATCTCTGTCTTTGAATTTGAACACAACTGTCTGTCCTGGAATTTGCACTTGACCTTGTTCTGTTTCTTTAGCACATGTTGGACTCTCCTTAGGCTCTGCCCAGGCCCTAGCACAGTGTTGGAATAGGTGATAGAATTCACTACATTTTCATAAACACTTTTTTAAATTACAAAGGTAACACATTGCACATAAAACATTTAAACGGTGCAAAGAAGCCTCCAAATGAAAGGAATGATTCCACACCTTTTCCCCACTCATTCTTCTTCGATTTCCCAGCTGTGACCAAGATGATACGTTACCGTATTTGCCGGCGTATAAGACGATTTTTTGGCCCTGAAAAATATGCCTCCAAGTGGGGGGTCGTCTTATACGCCAGGTACACTTCAGATAGACTGCCCATAGTGCTTGCCCCGTGCCATAGTGGCCTCCCGATGCCCGCCCACTTCATTCCACATACCGTTCAGGCATCAGCAGCGCTGCTGGGTGTATGCTCGGCTGTTATGCGATTTTGCTGTTATGCAATTTTACCACACTCGCAAAATCGCACACAGCCGACCATACACCCAGTATGATAGCGCAAAATCGCGAATCGCGATTTATGTATATGTTTGATTACATACAGCCTTGTGACAGTTTTCCTGCATGTCATAAGCATTTGAATATAAATATAAATGTTGAAATCAAATCTGATATTGTTTTACCTTTTATTTGGTGTGTGGAAGGTGTGCGGAAGAGGGGGTAGTCTTATACGGCGAGTATATAACAAACTCTGTATTTTGAGTGGAAATGTTAGGGGGTCGTCTTATACGCCCAGTTGTCTTATACGCCGGCAAATACGGTATATACCTTCTAGAAATTTTATATGAATGTGCAAGGAGAGAGGCATCCTTTTTTAAAAAGCACAAATGGAATCATACTTTGCATCTCGCTTTTTTCACACAACAATAGATCTTGGCGGTTTTTCATACTGGGTATGGATTTACCCAGTCTTGTCAATGTCCATTTGCACGTACTGTGTGATCCTTACGTTGTGTGACAGAGACCGTCACTGGGAGACAGTCGGGAGCGTCTCTGGGAGGTGTCCCTACTCCGTGTCATCATAAGAGCCCTGCAGGAAGGCTGCGTGACAAGAGAGCTTGTGGTTCTGACCACCCCTCCCTGAGCTTCCTGTCCCATGAGCGTCCTGTCCCGAGTGTCCCCTCTGCAAAGGACTTCTCCGTCTCCCCAGCAGAAACCTCACCGGACCCTCCATGTCAGCATTTTCCTGAATAAATCCTTTGTGCTGATGGAATGCCTAGTTGATTTTGTTTTGCTGTGGACACTATACGATAGGCATTTATTACTGAAATTTGGGGCCAAAGGTTCTATGCAGGCATTTTGTGCTTTGGCCACAGGACCACCCAAGAGCCTGTCCCCTATCCTGACTTCCTTGGGCGTTTTCGTAGTTTTGTTTCTTGCACATTGACGTAAAAAAGGGTGTCTCACTATTCTGTTCATTGTGCTTCTTGACTTATGAGCAAGATCTAGCAGTTTCTCACGTCTTCTTCACATTTCTGTTTCCGATGATCTCCTCCTCTGGTAGTTTACCTAGTTTTCTACTGATTTTTTAAAACTCTAATTAATAAACTCTAAACTAATAATTTTCCTGACATGGAACCATCCTTGATGTCTTAGATTGGATCATATTTGAACATAACGTCTTTTACGTGTTACTGGCTTCTATTTGATTAGTAGGTTGTTGAAAATTGATATTAAATCAAATTGAAATTGACCTGTAGTCATCGTTTGCACACGTGTCCTTTTGGGAAAGAATGGTTCTGCCTTCATACGTAGAAACTGGAAATAGATCAGTAAAACAGAAGACAGACAACCGAAGCTAAAAAAGGAGGAAGGCCGCGACTGCACAGATCTCAAAAGAGGAATTACCCATTGAGAGAAGTAATCATGAAAACACTGTCAGCATCACTGTAGCTTGAAAATGCAAATTGCTAGTGCCTTAGGGCTGCCTTTCTCATGCCTGTGTACCCTGCTGCATGTAAAGAGGGGGTGGCCCCCACCCCTATGCGTTCTGTCAGCAATGACAGTCACTCTTGTCCTCCCAGCTCCCTCGTCCCGAGAGCCGCTGCAGCACCCACGCACACTAGGGTTCCCTTCCTACAACGAGCAGAAGAAGTTCAGCGGCCTTCCCAACGGGGAGAGGACTAGAAGGTACTAGGCCACGCTGACACCTCTGAGGTGCTTTCTCTCGGGGTGATCAGTGCCTTTGCGGGCCCCTGGCCTGGGACGTCACCCAAAAACCAGACTCTTGAAGGGCCAGTGGATCTGAGCACAAACAAGCCACCTGAGAAACCGTCTCTGCTTCTCCATACACACGCGGCGCCCACCTCTGCTGCCTCGGCAGAGACGACACGAAGGGTGACGGGGGTGGCATGAGCCGCAGCTCTTAACAAAACTGAGCTGATATTAATGTTTTAAGGATTATTAAGTGGAGCCCGTGGAATCTGTATACAAACTTGGTCCCCCAGGTAGAAATCTCACAAAGGGCCCCCGCCTTTCTTTAACCAAATAAACAGGCTCTGAAGATAGGGCCTGGGCCCCAGGGCCGCTTCCCAGGCATCCCCTCAGCTCCCATGCTCCCTGCAGCTTTGCCAGCACCCCACTTCTGCTGCCCCACACAGTGCTCCTGTGGCCTTGACACCAGGGAGAGCAGGGCGGGTGGCGGATGGGGGCGGCCACGACCCTCCCCGCTGTGCTGGGTCTGCCACCTCTTCTCCCTCTGCTCGCCGGGGCCGCGACCGACGTCAGAGTGAAATATGGCTTCCTTTCTGTTTGGTTATCGCTACTACACTTGCTGTAAGGTTTACAGTGTGTGGAGGGCGAGGCTACTCACGAGACGCAGAGGCAAAGGGCCCCTGGCACGGATTCGCTGTCCCGTAATAGGAAGTTGCCATCCACCCCTTCGCCGAGCAGCAAGTTCTCGCAGTCTGTCTTGGACAGGGGCCCGTGGTAGTAAGGCAGGTCCATGGGAGGCGTCCAGTGTCCCCGGGACCCAGGCCAAAGTCAGGCTCTGAGGAGGGATGCAGAGGCCAAGCGAGTGGAGATACGCCTTCCTGCTCCAGCTGTGGGCGTGACTAGAAACCTGTGGACTCCACACGTTTCACAACAGCAGGAAATGCAAAGGGTGGAGGAGGTACACAGTGACCAAGCCTCTGTGGTCACCACACATGCCTGAGTGTAACTTGTAACCGTGGGCGACAGTGCGCTTGAGAAGCTAGTGAACCGGGAGCTCCCCTGGGATTGAAATGGGGAAGTCAGGCTCCCCAGAGCCAGTGCAGCTTCCTAAGTCACCAGGTGTCACCTTCTCTGGGCCCTGGTGTCCTCAGGGGACACAGTGCTGCTTGTTCTGCTGGCACTGCTGGGATGGCGCTCAGCTCAGAACAGGTGCCCAGAAAGCATTCAGAGCCTGCAAGGGCCCAGCTCCCTCCAGACTCCCCAGGGCAGATGGAAGGCGAGGACTCCCACGGGTGAAGAGCATGAAGGGTGGAAGCCGTCAGCGGGGAGCGGAAGCAAGGCACTCCACGGGGGGACAGCCGCCCCCCACTCAGGCTCCTTGCCACAGAGGACCGAGGCCAGGCTCAGCACCCTCAGCTTTGTGCTTTGGGGAGAAGCAGCAGGCGGGAAGGACACCTGGACGTGCAAAGCAGTGACACGTCCCCATGAACAAAGACCAGGAAACATCTGCCGGGCCAGAGACACTTGACCCCCATGCAGACAACCTGGTGTTGATGAGGAAATCCTTGTCCACCTTGATGGGCTGACACCTGGGGAAAGCTAACGCCTATTATCTGAGGGTCAGTTAACGGTCCATCATGCCACGTAATGGCCATTTCATTTCTGTGGGGAGCACACGAAGTCCTACCCCCTCAGCAACTCTCAGGCACGCAGGACAGGGCTGACCAGTCACCACGCTGAACACGACGCCCCAGAGCTTACTCGTCAGGCGGCTGGAGTTCGTGCCCTTTTTCCAATGTGTCCCCCATTTCCCCTGAGCGACCAAACCATCCTACAGGCAATTGAGTCGTTAATCAGCTATTAATGAACTTCAGGTAAATAAGCCAGGTAAGCATACCTGTAATCCAATGTCAGCTGGTGTAAACGGAATGTCACTTCTCTCCTTACCCAGCTGCCTTAGTCGTATATCTGTGGGAATGGCTGTGTATCTCAAGTGTGTCCCATGGTAATTGTGCTCACGGCCTGTCCTTTCCTGTCCTCGCGCCCTCTTAGCCAAGGTGACAGTGTCAGCTGCCCTGAAGCCCACTGTGGCCACCATAAGGTTTGGCTGCCACTGTACTTCCTTGCAGCACACTTTTGTCCTCCAAGGGAAGTCCCCTGCTCTGCTGTTGATGTCATGGAGTGGCATGCAGTGACGTAATCAAGAGAGGGATGCTTCCAAATCCCAATTTCTCTTGAGCAGCCTGGGGCAATTTGCTACCTAATTTCTCGGGAATTAAGGCAGTTGAGGAGAGAATTTTTAATGCTGGGAGAGGACAGTGAGCACCAAGCGTGGCGTGAGGCTATTTGTTACGTAAGGGAGGAAGTAACTGGGGGCCTGTTCATCTTTATGGTCATGGGTTTTTCCTGCCTTTTTATACTTTTTAAAAACCCAGCCCCCTCATCCTCACTCATCAAGAGTGATGCACATTAATTTCACGCTGAGATAACATCTGTCACCTATCACATTGGTGAAAATCAAAAGTTTGGAGGCAGTGGGACGGCCACGCTGGGGTGAATAAGAACGTCTCGCATCGCTGGTTGGTGTGTGGAAGGCGACACCTGGGATGGAGGTGCGTCTGGGAATGTCTAGCAAAGTGACACGTGTTTGCCCGCCAGCACGACCATCTCAAGGCTGTGTTGTAACACCTCATGAAATACATAATCCGGGCTAAGATAATCAGGGGGTGCAAACTTTAGGCAAGTGTTTGATAATGATCTTCACAAGGGGCGGGTGTCAAGCTGCCACCACCTGAACCTACCGATCAGACAGCCAGACTGGATGCAGCAGGAAGCTCAGAGGAGCCCTCTGAAGTGGACCCCACACAGCAGGACCAGAAGTGAGTCAAGCCCGTGTCACTCGTTCTTACGGGACTGCCATGAGGAGGCAGACAGACACATCGAGTCCTGGGACATTCAGTAGGACAACGAATGTGGCTGCTTCCTAGGTCAACACTCCAGAAACCGAGTCAGATAGTGGGGTGAGGACGGCTCTAGGGCAGAGGAGATCTATGAGGGGTCAAACAATGCAACATGAAGGTCTTGATTGGATCCTGGCTTGAAAAAAAACAAATACAAAAGGCATCCTGCTGCTAGGGAAACAACTATTGACTGGCTGTTAGATGCCACCAAGGAGCCGGTGTTGATTCTGTTAGTGCAGGGGTGGCGCTGAGCGCTGTGAGGACAGGTGCATGGCTGGGTGGCAGAGCACAGGGCTCCCTGTGTGAATGTCCATTTTGGGGTGTGATGAAGGTTTTTCACGATTAAAAAAATCCTTCCAATCTTACGTTGTGCCACGTCACCTTTGAGAGCAGCTGCACAGCACACAGCTACATCGCTCACTTCCCACTTGGTTGCCGTCCTCTCATCTGAGGACATCAAAGCCTAGTGCCATGATTGGAGACACAGCTGGCTGGGCCAAGGGAGGCCCTGACCCAGGATGGGCTCATCAGAGACACCGACTGCGGAATTTGCAGGAAATTAGGAAAAGAAGAAAGAGAGGGCACAGGGGTGGGGGTGGGGGTAGGAAATACAAATGGAGACAAGTTCTCTAGGAATGGCTGTAACAGGTGTATTTTTGTGCTGTGACCTGGTGGCCACATCCCGCCCAGCAGCCACAAGAGGGGAGAGAGTTTGTCCACAAAATGAAGACTGAAGGTGACTCATGGAGAGAAGCACTGCCAGGAGACATCCTGCTAAAGGCCACCTACGGAGTGGGTGAGCTGTTCTCAGACCACGCATCTGATGAGGGGCTAATATCCACATGTATAAAGATAGCAACTCAATAGCAAAACAATCCCAAACAATCCAACTATAAAATGGGGGAAGGACACGAGTAGGCATATTTCCAAACAAGACATACAGACAGCAGACACACAGAAATATGCTAACTGTCCCTAGGCCTCAAGTCCTGCAAGTGAAAACCACAGTGAAGTGTCATCTCACACCTTCAGAATAGCTGTTACCAAAAAGACAAGAAGACAAGTGTTGGCGAGAATGTGGAGAAAGGGGCCCCTCTGCACTGTTGGTAGGATTGTGAAATGGTATAGCCTCTATGGAAAACAATATGGTGGTTCCTCAAAAAATTAAAAATAGAACTTCCTCATGAACCAGCAATTCCACTTCTATATTTACCCTAATAAAACCCAAGACACTAATTTGAAAATACATATTTGCATCCATCCTCTCATGGAGATACAGAAAAAGAAAGAAAGAAAGGAGGCGTGTGGGGATACTGAGAAAAGGCCCCCCCCAGCACACACACACACATGCACACAGCATATACACACGCGTACACACATGCACCTGCAAAGCCCACAGATCGAGATAATTGTCAGTCCTCACAGGGGTGTGTGACACAGCTTGGAGTGGGCCCCCCAGCACTTGAGTCAGGAAGATTCACCTCACCCCCCACACAACATTTCAAGTGTATTGTTGACCCGTCTGTGAAATGTGAAGTCACACTGTGGGTCCCTGTGGCCGTGAATTTGAAGGGGCTGTGGCTGGCCCCACAATGGTGATAAAAGTGAAGTGGCATCGGGGACCACTCAGTGCTAACCATGGGAAGCCAGCTGGGAAAGACAGATGACCCCACTCGCGTGAGGTTCAAATGTGGGCACAGCTGACCATGTTGGAGTTAGGGGCACCCGGTTACCTTTGTGGGGAGAGCGTGTGTTGGTGTTTGGAGGGGGCCAGAGTGGGGTTTGGGGACCACTGGTGATTCCCACCTTCTGGCTGAGTGGTGGTGACACTAACGGATTCACTTTTCGGTAGTTTATATGTTCATGACATGACACAAGCAGGGAAACCCAAGTCTGTAAGGAATACTTTAAAAAATTTCCAGGGCTGGCCGAGTGGCTCAGTTGGTTAAGAGCTCGCTCAAGAGTTTGAGCTCTGAGCAACAGCAGTTCGAGTCCAGCCCGAGCTGAGCAGCCG